ACAAAAATAATAAATGCACATTTATTTAACTGCAAACAAATGTGTATTTATTATTTTTGTCTAAAAAGGTGAACTTATCCTTTAAGTCCTGCCATGCAGGGGATTACGGGAAGCTAGTATAAAGACAGGTACACATATAATTATTATTATTATTATACAGGATTTATGTAGCGCCAACAGTTTGCTCAGCGCTTTACAACATGAGTGCAGACAGTACAGTTCAATACAGGAGGAATCACAGGGCCCTGCTCGTTAGAGCTTACAATCTATAATAGATCCTTTTATATGTGCCTGGATTTCAATTTTAAATATATATTCCTTAATTGTATTTTTTTTTTTTGTAGTATACCCAGACTGCTTTTTTTTTGCTGAGATTCTTATGTTCCATCCACAGGCCTGGGAAAAGCCGAAGACAAGTCCAGGGCCAGACACAGCAAGTTTGTACGGGGAAGAGTAGGAGAGACAAAGAAGAAACAGGAGACTTCCTGTATAAGACTGGAGCACATCATGGCCGCCCCTTCAGGTAGGAAACTTTAACCTATACCATGATAGCTGCATGGGAAAGGGAAACTTTTAACCTATAACCATCGATGCTGCTATATGGGAATGGGAAAGGGGAAACATGCTTTAGTCCTGGCTCATCGAGCTGCACCATCAATGGAGGTACATTAAGGCTAGGTTCACATCTGTGTGGGTGGTGCGGCTGTGGATCCACACGAAAATCCGTGCAGCCGCACCACCCACACAGAGAAATGCGGACCCGCGGGTGGGTGACATTAGTTCTAATGGCATGCCGCCCGCACTGGGAAATGCAACCGTACTGGGAACCTCGGCTGCGTTTTCTAAAGAAGTGCCGGGACTTCTTCCCTGTGTGTCCCGGGGCACCGGAGTCCATTCAAATGAATGGGCTCTCGTGCCCGAACAAAACGCAGCCCGCACGGCCACATAGGTGTGAACCAGAGGTAAAGGGTTGATCTACTAAAGGCCAATAGACTGTGCACTTTGCAAAGTGCAAGTGCAGTTGCTCCAGAGCTTAGTAAAAATGAGCAGAAGTTCTGCTGACTTCCGTCATCCAACCATATGCAAGCAAAAATGCTGTTTTTTTTTTATTTTACTTGCACGTGATTGGGTATTCTTGGCAAAGGGAAGCTTTACCACATTTACTAAGCTGTGGAGAAACTGCACTTAAAGAGTGCAATTGCACTTTGCAAAGTGCACAGTCTATTTATCGTTAGTAAATCAACCCCTAAGATGCTGAGATAAACTCAGTTAGCCTTATTATTTATTATTATTATTATTATTATTATTATTATTATTAAACAGGATTTATATGGCGCCAACAGTTTGCTCAGCGCTTTACAATATAAAGGGACAAAAATATAAATATAAAAATACAACAACAATACAGTTCAATACAAGAGGGTTAGGAGGGCCCTGGTCCTGGGAGCTTACAATCTAAGAGGGAGGAGCTAGTAGTACAAAGAGTAATAACTGTGGGGGATGGACTGGTAAGAGGAGTAGAAGATTCCATTATTAGCTGAGGGCAGGATAGGCTTCCCTGAAGAGATCGGTTTTCAGAGATTGCCTAAAAGTGAGCAGAGTAGGTGATAGTCTGATAAATTGGGGGTAGAGAGTTCCAGAGGATGGGGGAAGCTCTGGAGAGCCTTATAAAGAGTACTTTGTTTTCACAAAGGTCAGACCTGATCCATAAACTTGTGTTGAGGGAGAGAAGCGGACATGTGGTCACCGAGACATATAGAGAGGGTGAATCTCCCCAGTGGGGAATGCAGATGGAAATGAAAATCTAACGCGGTCACTGGCTCTACATAAACCCAAAGGCAAACATTTATTATGCTGCAACTTACCAATTTTTTAGATGTGATGGCTGCATTAGTTTTTCTTTTGAGGATGGTGATCCTGCGAACAAGTTATTTATTTATTTCAGGTACTTATATAGCGCCGTCAATTTACATATATATTGTACATTCACATCAGTCCCTAACCCTCAAGGGGCGTACAATCTAAGGTCCCTAACCCTCAAGGGGCGTACAATCTAAGGTCCTAACCCTCAAGGGGTGTACAATCTAAGGTCCCTAACCTCAAGGGGCGTACAATCTAAGGTCCCTAACCCTCAAGGGGTGTACAATCTAAGGTCCCTAACCCTCAAGGGGTGTACAATCTAAGGTCCCTAACCCTCAAGGGGTGTACAATCTAAGGTCCCTAACCCTCAAGGGGCGTACAATCTAAGGTCCCTAACCCTCAAGGGGCGTACAATCTAAGGTCCCTAACCCTCAAGGGGTGTACAATCTAAGGTCCCTAACCCTCAAGGGGCGTACAATCTAAGGTCCCTAACTCACATTCATACATACACATACTAGGGCCAACTTAGACAGGATCCAATTAACCTACCAGCATGCCTGTTGGAGAGTGGGAGGAAACTGGAGTACCCGGAGGAAACCCACGCACACAGAGGGAGAACATGCAAACTCCAGGCAGGTGGTGCCGTGGTTGGGATTCGAACCAACAACCCAAGTACTGCCAGGTGGAAGTGCTAACCATTTAGCCACTGTGCTGCCCAGTTGTTTATCAGCAGAACACGCTGTTCTGCAGATGTAGTAGCAGTTACAGGGATGAGATGAACCATTTAATACTGACAGGCGTGCTTACAATGATCAGCTTTTATTTATTGATGTAAAAAACATTTATCCCAAAAGGATAAAAATGTTTGCTGTAACCGCTTATAAAGTTTTAGCTGAAATTTGGCTTCAGTTTGCTAGAGTATTTAAATCTGCTAGTACATCTTACACTCCCCTCCCCCAATACTGACAGTTCTGCTGTCATTATGGGGGAGGGGAGTGTAAGATGTACTAGCAGGTGTTTCTGTTGCTCCTTCATCCAGAGTGGGGGGGGCGCTCTAGTACAGGAGGTGTGTTACTGGCAAGATCACCAGGTGAAAACAAAGAGGAAAGGCCTTAAAAAGAAAACTAATGCAGCCACCACATCTAATGATTGGTAATCTACAATATATTACATTCTTGATTTTGAGTTTAATACTGATTTTATTAGCTCGTATGAAAAGGAATGTCTCTTTTCAGATTTTCAGATTTTTCAATCTCTTATCTAAGCCCCAAATGTGTCAAAGCAATGTTAAAAGCATCTTGTGTATCTCAAAGACTTACTTTCTCTGCACTCATGAATAATACATCTCCTTTAATTTCCTTTATGAGTCATCCAAAGAAAGCTGGAAGTAGTGAAACATTCCTCATTAACATATTAATAGATTTTATTTAACATGAATGTACCCTGTAAAGCAGAATATGAAAGATATCGGCACACACTGTACACCCCACAGGGATTCTGAGGGTGCGCTGAAGTGGGTACTAGTGTCTTCTAAAGCCCGACTCCGGGCAATTTTCATTTTTTTTTTCTCCTATAGCTCTCCAGCAGATGTTTAACACATCAAAGCTACTGCTGTCCCCACCAGGGACTGTACAAAGCCCACAAACAACCACCCCTACACCACCCACACAGTAACAATCTGATCATTCATGATTATAATGAAAACCAGGCATCCGAAGTATGGAAAATTATGGCTGTGGCCCCGTTATTTGGGTTTAAAACACAACATTATAACTGTTATTATACCAGTTCTTTTCCTTTAAATCAGGGGAGTCCAAACTTTCTAAGCAAAGGGCCAGTTTACTGTCCCGCGGGCATTAGGGGGGCCAGACTGTGGCCAATAGTAGAAAATGTGCCGGTGTGAGTGGCAGTCAAACTATGCCCCATCATTGGTATCAGTGGGAGGAATAGTGCCCCATCATTGGTATCAGTGGGAGGAATAGTGCCCCATCATTGGTGTCAGTGGGAGGAAATAGTGCCCCATCATGGGTGTCAGTGGGAGGAATAGTGCCCCATCATTGGTATCAGTGGTAGGAATAGTGCCCCATCATTAGTATCAGAGGGGGGAATAATACCCCATCATTGGTGTCAGTGGAGGAATAGTGCCCCATCATTGGTGTCAATGGGAGGAATAGTGCCCCATCATTGGTGTCAGTGGGAGGAATAGTGCCCCATCATTGGTATCAGTGGGAGGAATAGTGCCCCATCATTGGTGTCAGTGGGAGGAATAGTGCCCCATCATTGGTGTCAGTGGGGAGGAATAGTGTCCCATCATTGGTATCAGTGGGAGGAGTAGTGCCCCATCATTGGTGTCAGTGGGAGGAATAGTGCCCCATCATTAGTGTCAGTGGGAGGAATAGTGCCCCATCATTGGTATCAGTGGGAGGAATAGTGCCCCATCATTGGTATCAGTGGCAGGAATAGTGTCCCATCATTGGTATCAGTGGGAGGAATAGTGCCCCATCATTGGTGTCAGTGGGAGGAATAGTGTCCCATCATTGGTGTCAGTGGGAGGAATAGTGCCCCATCATTGGTATCAGTGGCTGGAATAGTGCCCCATCATTGGTATCAGTGGCTGGAATAGTGTCCCATCATTGGTATCAGTGGGAGGAATAGTGCCCCATCATTGGTGTCAGTGGGAGGAATAGTGCCCCATCATTGGTGTCAGTGGCAGGAATAGTGCCCCATTAATTGATATCAGTGGGAGGAATAGTGTCCCATCATTGGTATCAGTGGGAGGAATAGTGCCCCATCATTGGTGTCAGTAATAGAAATAGTGCCCCATCATTGGTGTCAGTGGGTGGGAGGAATAGTGCCCCATCCTTGGTATTAGTGGGAGGAATAGTGTCCTATCATTGGTATCAGTGGGAGGAATAGTGCCCCATCATTGGTGTCAGTGGGAGGAATAGTGCCCCATCATTGGTGTCAGTGGGAGGAATAGTGCCCCATCATTGGTATCAGCGGGAGGAATAGTGCCCCATCCTTGGTATTAGTGGGAGGAATAGTGCCCCATCATTGGTATTAGTGGGAGGAATAGTGTCCTATCATTGGTATCAGTGGGAGGAATAGTGCCCCATCATTGGTGTCAGTGGGAGGAATAGTGCCCCATCATTGGTGTCAGTGGGAGGAATAGTGCCCCATCATTGGTATCAGTGGGAGGTCCCAACCATTGGTATCAGTGGAGGAATAGTGCCCCATCATTGGTGTCAGTGGGAGGATAGTGTCCCATCATTGGTATCAGTGGGAGGAATAGTGCCCCATCATTGGTGTCAGTGGGAGGAATAGTGCCCCATCATTGGTGTAATTGGCAGGAATAGTGTCCCATCATTGGTATCAGTGGGAGGAATAGTGCCCCATCATTGGTATCAGTGGGAGGAATAGTGCCCCATCATTGGTATCAGTGGGAGGAATAGTGCCCCATCATTGGTGTCAGTGGGAGGAATAGTGCCCCATCATTGGTATCAGTGGGAGGAATAGTGCCCCATCATTGGTGTCAGTGGCAGGAATAGTGCCCCATCATTGGTATCAGTGGGAGGAATAGTGCCCCATCATTGGTATCAGTGGGATGAATAGTGTCCCCATCATTGGTATCAGTGGGAGGAATAGTGCCCCATCATTGTGTCAGTGGGGAGGAAATTGGTATAGTGCCCCATCATTGGTGTCAGTGGCAGGAATAGTGCCCCATCATTGGTATCAGTGCCCCATCATTGGTATCAGCGGGAGGAATAGTGCCGCCCATCATTGGCATCAGTGGGAGGAATAGTGCCCCATCATTGGTATCAGTGGGAGGCAGGAATAGTCCCCCATCATTGGTGTCAGTGGGAGGGTCAGTGGGAGGAATAGTGCCCCATCATTGGTGTCAGTGGGAGGAATAGTGCCCATCATGGTGTTGGAATAGTGCCCCATCATTGTGTGTCAGTGGGAGGAATAGTGTCCCATCATTGGTATCAGTGGGAGGAATAGTGTAGCAAGGACCAGTCAAGATAAGCAAAGGGCAACATCCAGCCCTTGGGTTAAAAGGCTTCTATCCTATTGGTTGCTTTATTTACATTCAAATGTCAGCTTCCAGTCATCAGTCCAGGATCAATGCAGTGGGGGATCTTCTGTTAATAACTTTTTCTGTGACCAGGATGAGAGGGGAGAAGGAGGATACAGGACCTGAAAGATAAACCGAGAGAGCCAGCAGAAAGATTCTGTACCTTTTTATTATATCAGTTCAGTTAAAGCAGTTAACAATAAAGATAACTCAGGAAAGAAAAGGAGGGTTGGCTGCAGGGGGTAATAAGTCTCATGGGGACACTTGGTTAGCCCCATGTCCCCCAGCAGTACCTCTTTTTCACCCACAAGATGCCCTCAGTCTTCTGCGGTGAATGACTCTCAGTGTCATTCAGCTCAGAAGACTGAGGACATACTGTGAGTGCAGGACATCATAGACATCATAGACATCATAGACATCATAGACGCACCCCCTGCACTCACAGTGTAATGGTGCAGAATAGTGCTGGATTTTCCAGTGTACCAAATAAATACTATAACCTTTTATGTCCTTAAAAAAAAAGGCTTAAAATATTCACTGAATGCTTTCCTAAATGCAGGTATGTTCTGGCCAATCAAATTGGTGGGATCCTTTTATGTAGGATTTTCCTTCAAGTCAAGGCTTCATGATAATGCACCCCCAGGGAGTGTGTCCATGACTGCCTGGTTCCACAGAAGTTGTAATGGGACTGGCAGCAGAGGAGGACGCAGAGGATAGTGTGAGAGCATAAAAAGAGTGAGAAGTGCTGAAGAAACTTTTTTTTGTTTTTGCAAACAGAAGTATCTTTATAATTTGGAGTTGAGATTTCAATATTCTACCTTTTTAATAAAAGCTGTTCACTCCTTTAAATAAAATGGAATTTTGGGTAAGGATCACTTTCACACTTCTTCCCCCCTGTACCAGGCAGTGTGGACGACAAGTTCCATCGACAGACTAACAAAAGGGGAGAGGTGACCTGTCCAAACTGTGGATCGGTCACCCGCAAGACCGTGGCAGGACTGCGGAAGCACATGGATGTATGTGAGCAGGTGAGACGCAGTACGTGTTAACCGTGTGCAGCTCTGCGACGTGCATGTTTATACGTTCACAGCGGATATGGGGGGGCTCCGAAGCCATCCAGGAACTACAGTTGTCTTAAACGCATGCTGGGACATTAGAGCCACCAGTTGCCTAGTGCATATAGCCAGACTTTCTGATGGTCCAGTAGTTGCGCTTGCACAATTTGAGGGAATACCTTTGAAGGTTTACTCATGTCCACATGCAGGTTGTTGTGGATAAATGTAAGTGATTGAACCAGAATTAACCCAGATCAATTGATCATTTAAAAAATTCAAAAATTCGATTTTTCAGTCTGCGCTCATCTCTGCCGACAAAGAGTGAATAGAGATAACTAAGAATGGAACATGTTGGGTGGCAATAGGGTAGTCTTTTGTCTAAAATCAGCCATACACTTAAAGTGTTACTAAACCCCGGACCCTGCATTCACTATATCTGGTCTCCGGACCCTGCATTCACTATATCTGGTCTCCTGGACCCTGACTATATCTGGTCTCCTCGGACCCTGTATTCACTATATCTGCTCTCCCTGGACCCCGCATTCACTATATCTGCTCTCCCTGGACCCTGCATTCACTATATCTGCTCTCTCCGGACCCCGCATTCACTATATCCGCTCTCCCTGGACCCTGCATTCACTATATCTGCTCTCTCCGGACCCCGCATTCACTATATCCGCTCGCATCTGCTCTCTCCGGACCCCGCATTCACTATATCCGCTCTCCCTGGACCCTGCATTCATTATATCCGCTCTCCCTGGACCCTGCATTCACTATATCCGCTCTCCCTGGACCCTGCATTCACTATATCCGGTCTCCTCGGACCCTGCATTCACTCTATCCAGTCTCCCAGGACCCTGTATTCACTATATCCAGTCTCCCAGGATCCTGCATTCACTATATCTGGTCTCCCCGGACTCTGCATTCACTATATCCGGTCTCCCCGGACCCTGTATTCACTATATCTGGTCTCCCTGGACCCTGCATTCACTATATCTGGTCTCCCCAGACCCTGCATTCACTATATCTGGTCTCCCCAGACCCTGCATTCACTATATCTGATCTCCCACAGTACACACAACATGGAAATACAATTATTTTAGTAAATATAAACTGCTAAATACCTTCTCTCATCAGCAGTTAGAGCAGTCTTGTGACTTCTATCAGTGTTCAGCAGAACGCCTGTTAAAGCTTGTAGGAGGAGTTTTCATTCTGCTCTAGCAGGATGCAGAGCCCCTGACCTCTGTCTGGACAGTACTGATTGGCCCTAAGTTGATCACATGCACTCTCCTAAAAAAAAAAAAAAAAACCTCTCTAGCAATACACACCAAACTGAACATGTGCAGAGTGACTCCACACAATATGTCTTATCAGGAGATAAGAGGGGGACACTGGAAGAAGGGGAAGATCAAAGAAGTCAGGCTCAAACAGCCTTTTTACACAATGCAGAGGATTAACCCCTTAGGTTCCACAGTGAGTATAACAAGCATGCTTTACTGCGTATACAGACTGATTTTACTATTGTGGGTTTAGTAACACTTTAAATAACCTATGAAATCCCCCATACATGCCCGACAGTATAAATGGAGGACTCTCCTGCTGTCGTCTATTGTATTTTGACACCTGGAACCCGTAGTTGACAGAATACCCAAACAGTGACTGCAACTGATTTGGATGCAGTTACTGTTTGGGTGAATTTTTTCAGCTTTAGACAAAGCAATTGGTGGAAATGTTAGCTGAAGAGAGGACTGGCAGGTGTCTGATTTTCTGCCAATTTGCCCAGACATGCACTTTAAAGTCTAAGGGAAATAAATAATAATTCATTGTTCTATTTCTCTTCTTATCTTGTTGATGTGGGTATGGCACATGCCTTTATTGTAGTGGCAGAAATCACATGTACAGAAAATAAACAGGAAAAAGCTGCAGAGATGAAAAGGTACCCCCCCTAAAAAAAAAGTAAGCCCTGGTTCACACTGACGCGGTGCGTAATTCACAGCAATTTCAGTGCGAATTCCGCACCGCATTGGAATCGCACCCTGTTCAAGTGAACCGTTGCGGGTGTGTATGATAAAGTGGAGCTCCACCCAAAAAGGGAAGTTCCGCTTTAAGGACTGCTCCCCCGCTCCCCATTAAAGATTGGCACCTTTGGGGGGCGGAGCGGGTATCCAAATTTGACAGGTACCTGCTCCCACTTCCGGTTCCCCCTCGCCTAGAAGCGAAAGGTGTCCTCCCTCCCTCCCTGTAGTTTTGTGGGACACGTGACAGGTCCCAGAAGGCTATGGGACTATTCATGAAGCGCAGCGCTACTCGCACATGCGCAGTGGGTACACGGCTGTGAAGCCGCAAGCAGTCACAGCCGGGTGCCCACACTGAAGATGCAGGCCTCCTGGAATACAGAACGGCCAGTGAAACGGGCTGCGGGGGACACACCACGGGACAGGTAAGTGGCTGTTTTTTAAAATTCAGAAGCTACAGTATTTGTAGCTGCTGACTTTTATTTTTTGACAGCGTGAGTGGAACTCCGCTTTAACCCCTTTGCGCCAGCGCCTCCTGGCCCTTTAAGAGTTTCAGAAGTCGGGGGGCGGGGTTTTAGGGTCATGTGACCACCATGGCGGTCACATGATCGGAAAAGGTCCCGATCACAAAGGGAGATCGGGACCTTTCCGTGAGTCACAGACATCCTGTGAGCACGCAGCAACGCATATGTATTTTTGGGCAAAGGGTACGCAAATATGCACCGCTCGGCGTCAAGGCCCAGACACCAAGAGGCCACATATTTGCACGCACTTGGCGTCTAGGGGTTAAGTTAACAACTCCCCGAAAGCGGTCTGCAAAACGCGGTGCGATGTGCAGAATCGGATCACATAGGTGTGAATACCCGTGCGTGTGGACCAAAAAAAGGGTCCTGTACGTTTCTGGTGCAGGTGCAGTGCGATTAGAGCCGTACAAAATGTATGGCTCCGATCGCACTGCACACAAATCGCATGTGATGAGCAGGGGAATGCGGTGTGGTTCCTGTGCGAATCACATGCGATTTAACGCACTGCATATATGTGAACCCGGGCTAAGCATGACATGTCATGGTCAGCTGTGCTACAACGTATAGAAATCTGCACATCTAGGGGAATTCTCAGATGTCTCATTTGATATTAGGGCCATACCACAACAGCGATCCTGCTACTGGCATTAAATTGCGAGGGTCCCTAACAAGACTGCACTTGCTCCTATGGTACTATACCCTCATTGATGGGAAATCTGCAGAATCTCGCTTTCTAGTAGTACAGCAGACATGGAATAAACACCTAGCTGGTTCAGCTCGCAGGGCAGTGAGATTGTAGGAGCAGGTGAGTGTTTCTTTTTTGCACTCCAAGTGCTGTCGCTAAACTGAAACTTTAACAAAAAAAAGAACTACCTTCAAAAAATATAGTAGATACTTACCCCCCCCCTCAGCCCATGCGACCACATCCGGTTATCCCGGGTGTCTCTTCAGAAAGCACTGCTTTGGGAAGCCTTGGTAATCTGTTTGCCGCTGCGTTCAATGGTTCCTCACTGCCATGTCCTGTAGTAATGCCATTGAGCAGCAGGGGAGCAGGAAAATTGTTCCAGTCTCTGGCGAGTTACATAGTTTGGCTGAAAAAAGACAAAAGTCCATCCAGGTAAACCATAGAAAAAAAAAAGTTATCCTACACCCACAGTTGATTCAGAGGAAGGCAAAAAAAAACCAGCATAGCATGATCCAATTTGCTCCTGCTGGGAAAAAAATTCCTCCCTGATCCCCCGAGAGGCAATCGGATATTCCCTGGATCAACTTTACCTATAAATGTTATATCCAGTTATATTCTGTGTATCTAAGAGAGAATCCAGGACTTTTTTGAAGCAATTCACTGAGCTGGCCAGAACCAACTCTTGAGGGAGTCTATTCCACACTTTCACGGCTCTTACTGTGAAGAAACCTTTCCGTGTTTGGAGATTAACTTTCTTTTCCTTCAGATGTAAAGAGCGCCCCCTTGTCCTCTGTGATGACCTCAGGGTGCTATTATTATTATTATTATACAGGATTTATATAGCGCCAACAGTTTGCACAGCGCTTTACTATATGAAGGGAGACAGTACAATTACAATACATTTCAGTACAGAAGGAATAGGAGGGCCCGGCTCATGGAGCTTACAATCTAAAGGAAGGGGGAGGTGATACAAAAGGTGATAGCTGCGGGGGATGATCTGGTGGAGGCAATTCAAGTACAGTTCTTAGGTGGAGGTGGGGTAGGCTTCCCTGAATAAGTGAGTTTTCAAAGATTGCCTAAAGGCAGACAGGGTGGGGGCTGACCGGACATACTGTGGTAGGGAGTTCCAGTGGATGGGAGAGGCTCTGGAGAAGTCCTGGAGGCGAGCGTGGGGGGAGGTGATGAGGGAGCTAGAGAGGAAGATATCTTGGGAGGAGCGGAGCTGGTGATTTGGTCGGTATCTGTGGATGAGGTCGGTGATGTAGCTAGGGGCAGTGTTGTGGATGGCTTTGTAAGCTGTGGTTAGTATTTTGAATTTTATAAGTTGGGTTATTGGAAGCCAGTGGAGGGATTGGCAGAGAGGGGCAGCAGTCGCTGATCGGTTGGTAAGGTGTATGAGTCTAGCAGCAGCATTCATAATAGACTGAAGGGGGGATAGCCTGTGTAACGGTAGACCAGTGAGGAGGGAGTTGCAGTAATCAAGGCGGGATATAACCAAGTTGTTTTGTGATGTCATTGAGTTGCCAATAACGGCAGGATCACTAGTGTGACATGGGTATTGCGCCTTGCAGAAACTACATTTTAGGCGTCAGGATCCTTGATGACAGCTGAAAGATTTTATATACCAACCTGCTTCATTTGCCTGGATGTTTTAAATGGCCTAATGTGTCTATTAATGATTTTTTTTTTTTAGCATTTTAGTCTTTTATGTCTACTAAGGTAGTGCCCTAACCCTGGATCTGTCTCTCCATCAGCTACAAGAAGCTCTGAGGTGTCAGCACTGCAGGAAACAGTTTAAATCGAAAGCAGGACTGAATTACCACACTATGGCCGAACACGTCAATAAGGTAATAGGATAATCCTGGTGCTCCATCATCGGTCTTTGTCACGTACCTTGGATGGAGGCCGAGTTAAGGAGAGGGCTTCCCTTGTGGCTCTGGTCTGAGCACCCCTGAATGTGGTGACAGAGGATCAAGGCTCAAAGAAGCACGATTGCCAATAGAAATAGTCCCCCCCCCCCCCCCCAATGACACCAACAATGGGGTCCAATGACACCAATGAAGGGGCACAATACCTCCAATGGCACCAGTGATAGGGGATTGTTTACTCCCACTGATGCTGGGACATTTTGTCTTCCCGTTGACCACTGTCTGGCCTGAAGGACAGTAAACTGGCCCGTTGTTTAGAACGTTTGGAGACCCCTGACATAGACTATATCTTCAGTGTTACACAAGGCTTTTCTTTCACTCCTTCTAGCAGGACGGAGTGGTAGAGAGGAACGAAAGCAAGTGGTCTGCATTACAGTGAACCTGTTGCTTTACCCCATATTGGCAAAGTATAGATTCTAATGCTCTTAAATTGTTGCTTGGCCCAAAGCATTATACTAGTGGTGGGTGGGATACTGGTTGGGTTAACTACCTACTGGCTGCAAAAAGGGGGTAAAAAAATGTAATTGTAATTAAAGCCAGCGTGTTTCAGTGTTTTAAATGTCTCTAATAAAGTGTATGTATTAAATCCCTGAAACATGTTGGCTTTAATTGCAGTGCTGAAAAAAAAAATGATCCCTGAAGGAGAACCATACGTCTCCTTTTCTGGCTTTTTTGCCTTTTAGGGCTCTGCCTGGATTAAAGCAGATGGTTACTATTTGAATGTACTCTATTATTATTATTATACAGGATTTATATAGCACCAACACTTTGCGCAGAGCTTTACAATATAAGGGAGACAGTACAATTACAATACATTTCAGTACAGAAGGAATAGGAGGGCCCGGCTCATGGAGCTTACAATCTAAAGGAAGGGGGAGGTGATACAAAAGGTGATAGCTGCGGGGGATGATCTGGTGGAGGTGATTCAAGTACAGTTCTTAGGTGGAGGTGGGGTAGGCTTCCCTGAATAAGTGAGGTTTCAAAGACCGCCAAAAGGCAGAGAGGGTGGGGGCTGACCGGACATACTGTGGTAGGGAGTTCCAGAGGATGGGAGAGGCTCTGGAGGTGAGCGTAGGAGGAGGTGACGAGGGAGCTAGAGAGGATGATATCATGGGAGGAGCGGAGTGGGCGATTTGGCCGATATCTGTGGATGAGGTCGGTGATGTAGCTAGAGGCAGTGTTGTGGATGGCTCTGTAGGTTGTGGTTAGTATTTTGAATTTTATAAGTTGGGTTATTGGAAGCCAGTGAAGGGATTGGCAGAGAGGGGCAGCAGTCGCTGATCGGTTGGTAAGGTGGATGAGTCTAGCAGCAGCATTCATAATAGACTGAAGGGGGGATAACCTGTGTAATGGTAGATCAGAGGAGGGAGTTTCAGTAATCAAGGCGGGATAAAACCCTGCTTGTGGAGCTTACAATCTAAAGCACGGGTGTCAAACTGCAGCCCTTCAGCTGCTGAGAAACTACAAGTCCCATCATGCCCCTGCCTTTAGGAGTCATGCTTTTAACTGTCAGCCCTGCAATGCCTCATGGGATTTGTAGTTCCGCCACAGCTGGAGGGCCGCCAGTTTGACACCCGTGATCTAAAGGAAGGGTGGTCGTGTAGCTTTATTAGAAAGCATTGCCGTGTCATTTTTGTTTTCAAGCACATTTCACCTAAGTGGTCTTCATGGCATGGCCATTTTTGAATCGGGAAATCTGCAGCACCGTCAATCTTGCTGCAAAACCATTCCGCTCATCTCTACGGGTGATCTGACTCTCCAGATTGGTAAACCCATCGTTATGGCCATGGGATGATTGTCCTTCCCTCAGTCGTTTTTTGTCTTTCTCCACTTCCATTTAGTCTTCCAGCCCTAAAGAGGTCCCGGTGGATGACCCCAGGGAGCGGGAACGCCTGCGCAAAGTTCTCAAGCAGATGGGAAAACTACGCTGCCCCAAGGAGGTAAATCCTTAGGACAAGAAATCTAGTAATCTACAAAGAGCAGATCTGGAGGGCAAGTTTGTCAAGCTGTCGTTTCCGTAAGGGTAGGGTCTTGTTAATCAGACATATGTATAAAGCCGTATCCTGTACAAACAGCAGCAAAAAAATACATTTGAAGTATATACATATATGGAAACTGAGATAAGTGCTTAAGACTTCAAATTTTTTCGGCCAGTCTGATATCGGCAGGCTTCCCAGACAGCACAGTGACCTATTGAAGGTAAGCAAAATCATTTGGTCACTGACTTGCCCCCAGGCTTGTGAGTGGACAATAAAGAAGCATCATCAGACCAATGAGATTATCTCTCTGCTCTCCTTTCCTGTAAAGATGAATATGGCGTTGACTTTGCTAGCTTTGCAGAAAGCAGTAGAGCTGTGACCTGCTCTTGACCTGACCCTTCTTTCCCTGTTGTGTAGTCTATTGCTTATAGCTAATATAAGGACAGATTTGGGTGCTTTTACTGTGTATTACAATGTACATTGAATGATTTTAAAGGAATATGCAACTGGACTAAATTATGGGGTGGATTTGCTTCAGACAAATAGACAGTGCACTCTGCAAGTGCAGTTGCTCCCGAGCAAATGCGGTAAAGCTCTGCTGACTTCCATCGTCCAATCATAAGCAAGCAAAAATGCTGTTTTCTAAATTTTCCTTGCTTATGATTGGGTATTGTAACGGAACCGAACTAGGGTATTTCCATTAGACTCCCGTTTCCCTGTCCAAACACCGTCCATGGACCCCACCGCTGGCCATACAAGACAAGACAAGACCAGTCTTGAAATAAATCAGGAAATAGACTGCTTTATTTTAACACAGACACAAGATATATACATTCAATGGAACAATTCTCCCCTCCCTGCATAAGGACACAGGGCGGGGCAAACCAAATCTTGCAACAAGAAACACATCAGCAGACACCCCCACCAAGCCAATACACAAACACATACATCCCATAATAGTTTGCTCCCAAGCAAGACACACAATAGAACAATGAGATGCAATCACATAACACCAAACAATCCACAACCCTCACCTATCTCCTAGACATGTCCTCACAATATTATGACATATCACCCTGCACCCCTAACAGGCACAGGGTGACTTACACATAAGAGGGATATGGGGAGCTGAGACAGGGGTCTCCCCACCTCTCCAAAGGGAGCTGTGTTCCATGGGCCCCCCACCCAAAGTCACTCCCGTCACAGGTTTTCATTGTAAAGTGAAGCTTTGCCTCACCTACTAAACTCTTGAGCAACTGCACTTGCAAAGTCTTTTTTTTCCTTTAGTTAATCTGTCTGGAATACCAATGTAGCTAAAAATACAGCATTTTACCTTTTAGTATGTATTTTTTTTTCCAGAATTGCTTGGCTTCATTCTCCAGTCTAATGGGTTACCAATACCACACACAGCGTTGTGGGCGAGAGCAGTGCGACCGAGAGAAACTGCACTTCTCCTGTCCTCATTGCAGTAAGGCGTACCGATCCAAAGCTGGGAGAGACTACCACGTGCGCTCCGAGCACTGCACAGTAAGTTCAAATTTGGTATCTGAAGTGCAGACTGTGAATACTGGTGGGGTTGTTCTCATAGCGGCCAGTCAGATTTTATCTTCTATTTTTGCGGAAAAAAAGCCAAACAATAACTGCATGCTGTGGGCAATACCTCCAGCAGTTTTACATAGTTAGTCTGGCTGAAAAAAAGACAAAAGGCCATCCAGTTCAACCAAAGAAAAAAAAAAAAAAAAAAAAAGTTATAATCCTACACCCACAGTTGATCCAGAGAAAGGCAAAAAAAAACCCCAGCAAAGCATGATGCAATTTGCTCCTGCAGGGAAAAAAATTCCTTCCTGATCCCCCGAGAGGCAATCGGATATTCCCTGGATCAACTTTGCCTATAAATGTTATATCCAGTTATATTCTGTGTATCCAAGAAAGAATCCAGGACTTTCCTACAGCAATCCACTGAGCTGGCCACAACCAACTCTTGAGGGAGTCTATTCCACATTCTCACAGCTCTCACTGTGAAGAAACCTTTCCGTGTTTGGAGATTAAATTTCCTTTCCTCCAGATGTAAAGAGTGACCCCTTGTCCTCTGTGATGACCTCAGTTTTCCTTGGTCTGAATTTAATAAATCCATTTTCAGGGATTACTCCTTGCTTTAAAGTGGAGTTCCAGTGAAAATGAAAAAAAAAAAAAATAAAAGTCAACAGCTACAAAAACTGTAGCTGCTGACTTTTCAAAAATGGACACTTACCTCCTGTCCTTCGAACCCACGATGTCGTCGTCCCCCCAGCCCATTTCACTGTCTGCCCCCTGTGTTCCTGGTGCCAGCATCTTCAGTGTGGGCAATACGCATGCGCGAGTAGCGCTGCGCTTTGTGAGTGGTCCCGTAGTCTTCTGGGATCTGTCACGTGTCCCAGAAGACTACGGGAGGGAAGGGGGAGGACAACTTCCGTTTCTGATCCCTTGGCAATCGCAGCAGGAGTGGGATCGGGTACCTGTCAATTTTGGTTGCCTGCTCCCCAAAGGTGCCAATTCTTAATGAGGAGCGGGGGACAAGTCCTTAAAGCGGAACTTCCCCTTTTTGGTGGAGCTCCGCTTTAATTTAAAAAAAGCGTGACACGCTAGTGAACTGTTAGCCATGGAGCACTTGAACTGTTTTAAATTTAAGAATCTCACTCAGTTTGAGTTTTTTTAGTTCCTAAAGACAGATTTCTTAGAGCTCCTCACACATGGGTTAGGCTTACAGGCTTCCTGACACTCCAGCTGAGTAACTTTCTCTCTCCTCTCTCTCTCTTCTCTCTCTCCTCTCTCGCCCCTCTCTCTCTCTCTCTCTCTCACCTCTCTCTCCTCTCTCACTCTCTCTCTCTCTATCCTCCCCCCCCTTCTCTCTCTCTCTCTCTCTCCCCCCCTCTCTCTCCTATCTCCCCTCTCTTCTCTCTCTCCCCCCTCTCTCTCGCCCTCTCTTCTCTCTCTCTCCCCTCTCTCTCGCCCTCTCTCCTCTCTCTATCTCCCCTCTCTCTCCTATCTCTCTTCCTCTCTCTCTCTCCTCTCCTCTCTCTCTCCCTCTTCCCCTCTCTCTCTCTCCTCTCCCCCTCCCTCTTCCTCTCTCTCTCCCTCTTCCCCTCTCTCTCTCCTCTCCCCCTCCCCCTCCTCTCTCTCTCTCTCTCTCGCCTCTCCCTCTCTCTCTCTATCTTCCTCTCTCTCATAACTCTCTCTCTTCTCCCCTCTTCTCTCCTCTCTCTCTTTCTCCCCCTCTCTCTCTCTCTTCTCTCTGTCTCTTCTCTTCTCTCCCCTTTCTCTCCCTCTCTCTCCTTCTCTCCCCTCCTCCCTCCCCCCCTCTCCTTCTCTCGACTATAAGAATTATATAAGCAACTTGATACGTCCAGCTTTCTCTATGTGAGAAACGGCAAAGAACCTGCATTGGGCGTCTTTGTGAATTCCCCTCCTGCATTACAAATAGCTAAGCAGAAGGGGTTCCCAGATCACCAGTTTACCATCAGAAGGCAGTGAGGTGGACTGGTGCACTACAGCTATGGATGAAAAGCTTACAAACTAAACAGGAAGACTGTGCTTTCTGTATGCATTTCAAGGCTGCATTTTACACCTCGATGGGAGAGTACCATTACTTCATTGTTTCTCCCCAGGACTTGGTTATTCCAGAAGAACCAGAGCTGACATCAAAGCAGGAGGTGGAGATCGAGGACTTTGAACGGACTCCAAGTGGGCGAGTAAGGAGGCGGTCAGCTCAGGTCGCAGTCTTCCATCTACAAGAAATCGCAGAGGATGAGCTGGCAAAGGAAGGAAGTCGCAGGAGGATGAAGGAGGACCTTGTACCTGACAGTAAGAGGGTAAGGTGGAGCTCGTCCCTTTGCCCAGTGTGACAGTGATCTGCACGCCAATGTATTAGTGCAGGGGTGTCAAACTCCATTTCATCGTGGACCATATCGGCATTATGGTTGCCCTCAAAGGGTCAGTTGTATCTGTAAGACTAGATGTCCAGAGCACCCCACTCACCCCCGATTATATCAGATGTCAAGAATCCCACACCCTCCCCAACATCATTGTGCACCCACTTTGGGGGCAGAGCAGGAAAGCAGAGAGTGCAGGGTTTGGAGGAGGACCAGAGGAGGAGTGGAGTCAGTTACCAGAGTCTGCTGAATGCTCAGACCAGGGGAGGCAGAGATGAAGGGGTGTTGCAGGGAGGCAGAGATGAAGGGTTATTGCAGGGAGGCAGAGATGAAGGGGTGTTGCAGGGAGGTAGAGATGAAGGGGTGTTGCAGGGAGGCAGAGATGAAGGGGTGTTGCAGGGAGGTAGAGATGAAGGGGTGTTGCAGGGAGGCAGAGATGAAGGGGTGTTGCAGGGAGGCAGAGATGAAGGGGCGTTGCAGGGAGGCAGAGATGAAGGGGCGTTGCAGGGAGGCAGAGATGAAGGGGTGTTGCAGGGAGGCAGAGATGAAGGGGTGTTGCAGGGAGGCAGAGATGAAGGGGTGTTGCAGGGAGGCAGAGATGAAGGGGCGTTGCAGGGAGGCAGAGATGAAGGGGAGTTGCAGGGAGGCAGAGATGAAGGGGCGTTGCAGGGAGGCAGAGATGAAAGGGTGTTGCAGGGAGGTAGAGATGAAGGGGTGTTGCAGGGAGGCAGAGATGAAGGAGTGTTGCAGGGAGGCAGAGATGAAGGGGTGTTGCAGGGAGGCAGAGATGAAGGGGTGTTGCAGGGAGGCAGAGATTTAGGGGTGTTGCAGGGAGGCAGAGATGAAGGGGTGTTGCAGGGAGGCAGAGATGAAGGGTTGTTGCAGGGAGGCAGAGATGAAGGGGCGTTGCAGGGAGGCAGAGATGAAGGGGTGTTGCAGGGAGGCAGAGATGAAGGGGTGTTGCAGGGAGGCAGAGATGAAGGGGTGTTGCAGGGAGGCAGAGATTTAGGGGTGTTGCAGGGAGGCAGAGATGTAGGGGTGTTGCAGGGAGGCAGAGATGAAGGGGTGTTGCAGGGAGGCAGAGATGAAGGGGTGTTGCAGGGAGGTAGAGATGAAGGGGTTTTGTAGGGAGGCAGAGCTGAAGGGGTGTTGCAGGGAGGCAGAGGTGAAGGGTGTTGCAGGGAGGTAGAGGTGAAGGGTGTTTGCAGGGAGGCAGAGATGTAGGGGTGTTGCAGGGAGGCAGAGATGAAGGGGTGTTGCAGGGAGGTAGAGATGAAGGGGTGTTGCAGGGAGGCAGAGATGAAGGGGTGTTGCAGGGAGGTAGAGATGAAGGGGTGTTGTAGGGAGGCAGAGATGTAGGGGTGTTGCAGGGAGGCAGAGATGAAGGGGTGTTGCAGGGAGGAAGAGATGAAGGGGGTGTTGCAGGGAGGCAGAGATGAAGGGGTGTTGCAGCTGCACTGAGAGGTGCAGAATTTGGCAGAGGAGCTCTATTCTGCTCTCTGCTGCCGACTGCTGAGACAAAGTGGGGGCGGAGACGGGGGTTGGGGTTACCTGCAGGAGAGGCGCAAGGGCCACATGAAATGGCCTGGAGGGCCGGATTCGGTCCACGGATCTTTTGTTTGACACCCATTAGTGGCATGGGTGTGGTTATTGTGTCACTTTGTGCAAAAAAACATATATTTTCAGTTACGGGATTGATACTAGCAGGCTGTGTCACCAATTGGATCGTTGGGTCTTTTGGGGGCTTCTGAGAAGCTTTCCACACTTTAGTTCCCAACTCCACCTATGGTAAATGTTCTGTTGTGTAAGCTTTAAGCTCAAATCCAGGAAAACAATCAAACACAGAGATGAAAATATATATAAGGGAGCAGTTTTATCTGCCAAAGAGTTTGTATTTTTGTCCATTCAGTCCTGTCGCACAGCCAGGGTGGTATCCTCTACTGCAGTACAGCTAGGTTATGTCCCTCCCTCAGCCTGTGACCAGACAGTGCGGGAGAAACGGCAGATGGAAGAGGTTATCTCTCTGTCACTCTGCTGTCTGCTCCTATTGTATAGAGAGGATGTAGCCACACACATATTGTGGAAATTGCTGATGCGATTTGTCCTGGGTGAACAGCTCTTGAACCTCCTACAAAATGCAGACATCAAAGCCTTATGTTACATCTATAGAGACTCCTATAGGAGACCCCTTTCTGTAAGACGGCTAACCTGTGTCTTCTGTGACAGCTGAACTATCTCCGTCCCGGCCTGCCGACCTTTAACCCCCAGCTTCTGGAAACTTGGAAGACCAGCGTGAAAGAAAATGGCTTCATCTGCTGCCCTAATAACGTGAGTCACTGTGTATTGGGGAAACTTAGCTTATCATTTTACAGCAGTCCCAAAGTGAAACTGTTCTAAGGGATTAACAGGGTGAAGCAGCAAAAAAAATAAATAAAAAAGCTAAGCAACACATAGACTATACAATTGTCTTTCCTTCCACCATGGTTGGAAGGATAGAAAATGGCTTGATTCTTCTATCAACACAGTCGGTGTTGGAATCCCAGTCAGATGGAGGATTCCCTCCTGCAGAGCTATTGTGTTCTGCCGCTGGGGAGTCTTCCCTGCTGGCAGAGTACAAACACGAAACTGCGCTGAAAAGCAAAAAAAGCAGCTGGCACAACGATTGATATAAATTGTGTATAAATAAAAAATAAACCTAAAGTGCCGCTCTAGAAAGAAAATATGTATTAGATATTATAAATGACAGAACATAAAAATAAATCCAGTGCTAGTATACGTTTATGGAAAATAAACAGTCCCAAGAACAAATTGGAGTGGTGTGTGAATTGTCCCGATGTAAGGAGTGAATCGGGGAGGAAAATCTCGATCTATCCAATCCGTTGATACTGTGGCAACCACTCGCCCTCCATAGGATTTACCCCCCCCCGAAAAGGCATTAAAGTTTTATTTATTTATTGATTTATTTCAGGTACTTATATAGCGCTGTCAATTTACGCAGCGCTTTGATTGTACATTCACATCAGTCCCTAACCCTCAAGGGGCGTACAATCTAAGGTCCCTAACCCTCAAGGGGCGTAAAATCTAAGGTCCCTAACCCTCAAGGGGTGTACAATCTAAGGTCCCTAACCCTCAAGGGGCATACAATCTAAGGTCCCTAACCTCAAGTGGCGTACAATCTAAGGTCCCTAACCCTCAAGGGGTGTACAAATCTAAGGTCCCTAACCCTCAAGGGGCGTACAATCTAAGGTCCCTAACCCTCAAGGGGCGTACAATCTAAGGTCCGTAACCCTCAGGGGCGTACAATCTAAGGTCCCTCCTCAAGGGGTGTACAATCTAAGGTCCCTAACCCTCAAGGGGTGTACAATCTAAGGTCCCTAACCCTCAAGGGGCGTACAATCTAAGGTCCCTAACCCTCAAGGGGTGTACAATCTAAGGTCCCTAACCCTCAAGGGGTGTACAATCTAAGGCCCCTAACCCTCAAGGGGTGTACAATCTAAGGTCCCTAACTCACATTCATACATACACATACTAGGGACAATTTGGACAGGAATCAAATTCACCTACCAGCATGTCTTTTGTATCATTTTTTATTCATTTTTTATTTTGTATCATTTTTTGTATCATGAGTCATTTGTATTCTTATTTGAATCTCGGTGTGATGTGTGTATTTCTTCCAGATCTGTGCAGTTATCCAGTGTGAAACTTTACTTCCTGTAATAAAGACCAGTCACTGCTGCTCTCTCCCTCATTGTGCAGGGTGATTGGTCATGTCTCCGCCCCTCCTGTAGTTTTCTGCAGGCAGCCTGTAGTGGGTGGAGCCTACTGGTCCCTCCCACAGCTCTGCTCTCTGCAGAGGCTATTTACAGCACAATGATGATGTCACGTCTGCCTCTACAATTTATTATTTGGGTTTGCAAAGGCGTTTAGTGCGCAAAAATGTCGATTGACATCCTCTGTGGCTGTTGAGTAATATATTTAAATAAATACCTTCAGCACCTCTGCTAAATGTGTCATTATGTAGCCCTAGCAGGCGCTGAACAGGATTACTGCACATGCAAGCCCAGTCATTCCTATGGCTTGGGGCTGTCATGATTGCAATCAATAAAAAAGGAAAATAAAAAAAAGGGGGTTCAAAAATCAACTCGCAATAGCAATGAATGGGTTGGACAGAGCTCCTGCGCAGTTGAAGCTGGTCAAGGCCGGGACCAGGGGCGGACTGACCATTTGGAAACTCGGGCACTGCCCAAGGGCCTGGGGTTAGTAGGGGGCCCCATGAGATGCCCCCGATACCTTTTTCATAGGCTTTTTTTGAGTTTGGGCAAGGACACGGGCCCCATGATCCCCTATTGCCCGGGGGCCCCATGAGTTGTCAGTCCGCCCCTGGCCGGGACATTATTCGGAATAGGCTGTTGGCCATGGAGTAGGTAGGGACAGGTAGTGGGGGTGAAGGTAATTATTTAGGTAGGTGGCTACCACTCAGGGGTGTAGAAAACAATGCCATTTAGTTGTATGAGGATTCCAGAGCTTGCCCACAGATATATAGAAAAATTCAAACTCTACATGCAACTTTACATGAGTTTAAAACTTATTAGAAATAAAAGCAAAAAACTATTTGTATAGAAAGGACTTCCGGAGCCATAACATCACAGTATGTAAGGAGGTGTTTTTTAACTACTAACCATATTTTTCTAAATAATGAACATCAGAAGTGTAAAGTCTCAGTGTTTTAACGTTTTTTTTTTTTTTCTCTTTACTTTTGTCACTAGCGTTGTGAAGCAATATATTCCAGTGTGTCTGGGCTGAAGGCTCATCTTGCCAACTGCAACAAGGTATATAGCATCCGTTATAGTGATTTACCGTCGTCCTCATTAGAGGCGGATGAGCACGACAACCAGGAATTTGACGATTTCCAAAAGAGATGTTAGCGGAAGGCCAATTCTAATGTGATGCTTTGTGTGTTAGCAAGGGCGACTCTTTGTGAGTTTGACATCCGGCTGCTTTGTGTCTTGCAGGGTGAGTACTTGGTGGGCAAATATCGATGTCTGCTATGCCAGAAGGAGTTCAGTTCTGAGAGTGGAGTGAAGTACCACATCGTAAAGACACACTCACAGGTGAGGAGACAACGCTTATATCTTACATCTTCCCACTGACCACTCTAGGCCAGACTACCTACCTCTCTATTGGTAAAAGTTGGCTTGTGACAATTGGGGTCAACACATGAGTGGTAATCACTTGTGAGCTCTCCTTTAGAGCACAGAGACGTTCCCGCATTTTGTAACATGTTGAATATTTTTTCAACCATTATTAATTTACCGCCATAGTAAATTAGCCTGACCCTTCATCTTGCATGCTCGAGGATAAAAAAACAAACAAAAACAAAACAAACCACAATGGTAGTTACTTGGAACAGTGAACCAAACAAACATGTAAAGGTCTTTCATTGCCTTGTTGTTGGTGAACAATCTGTTATTGTATGGCTAACCCACAGCATAATAAAGATGGCCGCGCACTGAGGAGCTTGGCATCCAAAGTGTTTATTTTGGTGATTGTATCACTCCACCCATTCAGCTCTTGCTACCTTCATATTCCTTATGGATCAGAGCAATGTTTACATTTCCACTGAGGGCCTGTTTATTCAGTCATTACACATATGTTGTTTTTTGAAGTGGAAAAACTAGGCTTTCTTTTGGCCATACCGTCTTGCAAAAATTATTTCATTTTCCTTGTAATCCATAGACAAAAAAAAAAAAGAGTCCATTCACACTTGTACAGCTCCGAAGTTGTACGACTTTGGACTGCAACTTTGACGCAACTTTGGATGGGTGCAACTTGGATACGACTTTGGCTTTCATTATTGATAATGGACAATTGTGGCATCTATAAAATTCAGGTGCAACTTTCACATGACTTTTGAGGGTTTACATTGCAGTCTGTGTCACTGAAGTTGCATGAAAGTCGTACCAAAGTAGTCATAAAAAGAGGAAGTGAGCGCTAAAAGCAAAAAAGCAGCCAAAGCACCAAAAGGATACCAAATAACCTCTCAAAACTAAAACATATATAAGGTGCAGCGCTAAAAACAGTTCTATAAATAATGAATGCTCATAATACAAAATATGCCGAGATTAATAAAACCATAAAATCATCATAAGAATAAAGTGACTTGTGACAAAGTGCCAAAATTCATATGTATTCAGTGACTTTCGTGATCTCATATAGTCTGTCACTGTGTGACCAGTAGTGATGATAAAGTGCTAGAGTAATTGTCCCAATTAAGAGTATGGGAGATCAAATCATCTCCAGTAATAGGTGCTCCATCCAGACTGTGGTGAAATGCCCGATATTATGGAAAGGCTGTGCACTCACCAGATGCACAGTTTATCTTTATTTTAGAGACAATATTATTATTATTATACAGTATTTATATTGCACCAAAAAGTTTGCTCAGCGCTGTACATTATAGTGGGGCACAGTACATGAGACAATACAGTAACAATACAATACACGAGGGGTTTGAGGGCCCTGCTCTTTGGAGCTTACAATCTAGGAGGGAGGGCATAGTGGTACAGGAGGAAATGGCTGTGGGGATGGAGTGGTAGGAGGAGTGGAGGAGATCAGCTGTTAGGTGATGGCTGGGTAGGCTTCCCTGAAGAGATGGGTTTTCAGGATGCACCTAAACGTGAGGAGGGTAGATGACAGTCTGATGGATTGGGGTAGTGAAATGGTTTTGAAGTTGAGTGTAGATCATCAATTTTTAAGCCATTCTGGGTAAGACTCTTCAGATGGTGGCAATGGGTACAGCAAGAAACACTTCTGGCACCTGTAGGCCAAGAAACACTTCTGGCACCTATAAGCTAAGAAACACATCTGGTACCTGTAGGCCAATAAACATTTCTGGCACCTGTAGGCCAAGAAACACTTCTGGCACCTGTAGGCCAAGAAACACTTCTGGCACCTGTAGGCCAAGAAACACTTCTGGCACCTGTAGGCCAAGAAACACTTCTGGCACCTGTAGGCCAAGAAACACTTCTGGCACCTGTAGGCCAAGAAACGCTTCTGGTACCTGTAGGCCAAGAAACACTTCTGGCACCTGTAGGCCAAGAAACACTTCTGGTACCTGTAGGCCAAGAAACACTTCTGGCACCTGTAGGCCAAGATACACTTCTGGTACCTGTAGGCCAAGAAACACTTCTGGCACCTGTAGGCCAAGATACACTTCTGGCACCTGTAGGCCAAGAAACACTTCTGGTACCTGTAGGCCAAGAAACATTTCTGGTACCTGTAGGCCAAGAAACACTTCTGGTACCTGTAGGCCAAGAAACACTTCTGGTACCTGTAGGCCAAGAAACAGTTCTGGCACCTGTAGGCCAAGAAACACTTCTGGTACCTGTAGGCCAAGAAACAGTTCTGGCACCTGTAGGCCAAGAAACAGTTCTGGCACCTGTAGGCCAAGAAACACTTCTGGTACCTGTAGGCCAAGAAACATTTCTGGCACCTGTAGGCCAAGAAACATTTCTGGCACCTATAAGCTAAGAAACACTTCTGGCACCTGGAAGCCAAGAAACACTTCTGGTACCTATAAGCTAAGAAACACTTCTGGTACCTATAGGCCAAGAAACACTTCTGCTACCTGTAGGCCAAGAAACACTTCTGGTACCTGTAGGCCAAGAAACATTTCTGGCACCTATAAGCTAAGAAACACTTCTGGTAAATGTAGGCCAAGAAACACTTCTACCACAAAGCTTAGGCCTTCTTTGCTCCGCCACTGTAAGAGAAAATAAAACCTCCTACTAAAGTGAAGAAATAGCATCACTTCCTACAGTTGTCCCTTGGTTGTGTTGTCATATTGCCGTGCCTAAATCTCTTTTTTTTTTTTTTAATTCCCAGAACTGGTTCCGGGTTTCTGCCGTCTCTTCGGCCATTAAAAGAAAAAGAAAGCAGGACTTCTCCTCTAATAAGTCAGCAACGGAAGTGACCAGCAAGAAGAAAAAGAGGAAGATAGAAGATAAACGCTTGGTCAGTTTTCCCCCCACTGCCACATCCCTGGACACAGAGACTTCGCCTGCACTGAACACACACTCTAACAAAGCAGCAGGTAGCGTTCTTGCCAATGCACATAATGCGGAGCCCCTGAAGAAAATTGAGAAAGTCGCCACATTTAAGAGAGGGAAATAGCATAATATGACGCATGGCGCCAAACCCAGAATCCAGTTTTGTAGCCTTCAGAAAATGGTATGTATCACGTTTCAGAGGCTTTCACACTGACGCACTTCTGCCACCTTGCACAGGACCAAATAAGATTGATATAAATATCGCTCTTCAGATTTAGAATCCGGATAGAGAAATAAGAAGATGTAAATGATACTTTCAATATTATATTTTAAAACTGTGGGAAAGGATCCTGCAGTCCTTTCTGGATTAGCGGCAGTTGAGTCACATGACCAATTCTTTGGCAGTCCCATCAGAGGAACCCAAACTAGGGAGTGAAAATTCGCTTAGCACCAATGATGGTAACTGTTTGAAGGGCTTAGAAATTAGCACAATAGTTAGCTGAACCATTGACTGGGTTGGTAGGGAAAGTCTACTCTATTGGTAGACTTAGACAGTGTATGTGGACGTTTGTGACCATCCTGTCGATGGAAGCCATCATTGCTTGACTGGTGTGCATATGTCTGAGGCAGTAAACCTTAATCTTTTCACCCCCTGCTATATACTTGAGCTAGTATGGGGTAAAGAAGTCAGGTAGTGGCTTTCTTCTACAAGAGAACCTGTGACAACTGGACTTATACACGAATCAGAAAACTAAGTCTTCATACTGTATATAATAGCTCTGCATACTTGCATTTGAAAAATGCATTGGTTTCCCTTTATGTATCTTTCATATCATTTTGACTGTTCAGTTTGCTGTGCAGCAGTCAGTTGACTATTGCTGACATCACGCACTGTCTCCCAGCTTCTGGGTTTGCATAACAGTGTCAAGTTAACAAACAAAACATAAAAAAAAGCATAATTTTAAACACTGTTGTGCACACTCAGGAGTCGGGCAACTTAATAAAGCTTGCTGGAAGAATGCACATGCTCCACCTCCTCTGCTCTCAGTGAGGTGCATGGCTGTTGCTCAACTATGCCAGCATAGCACAGAGCACCGCAGTGTGGGGATAGGAAGCAGCATTTTCACCTAAAGAAAAAGGTACTTTAAGGCATTTTTACAGGACAATAAAGAGATCAAAAGTATAAAACTTCAGCTGGGCTTTCAGTAGCCCAAAGGGGTACACTTTTACTAGTAATAATTTAGGATTGCATTTTCTTTCTTGTATAAGCCTAGCGTGACTGGTTCTCTTTAAACAGCAATGGTGTTTTGCATTTTGACTCCATGTGTACTCATGGGGGCCGGTCTGGGTACAGCAATGACAATTCCACCCATAGACAAGAGGGTCATGTGGTGTCTCATAGGCCGTGCCTGTGCATAGTGTAACTGCGCCTAGGTCATGTGTACTCATGGGCCGGTCTGGGTACAGCAATGACAATTCCACCCATAGACAAGAGGGTCATGTGGTGCCTCATAGGCCATGCCTGTGCATAGTGTAACTGCGCCTAGGTCATGTGTACTCATGGGCCGGTCTGGGTACAGCAATGACAATTCCACCCATAGACAAGAGGGTCATGTGGTGCCTCATAGGCCATGGCTGTGCATAGTGTAACTGCGCCTAGGTCATGTGTACTCATGGGCCGGTCTGGGTACAGCAATGACAATTCCACCCATAGACAAGAGGGTCATGTGGTGCCTCATAGGCCATGCCTGTGCATAGTGTAACTGCGCCTAGGTCATGTGTACTCATGGGCCGGTCTGGGTACAGCAATGACAATTCCACCCATAGACAAGAGGGTCATGTGGTGTCTCATAGGCCATGCCTGTGCATAGTGTAACTGCGCCTAGGTCATGTGTGCTCATGGGCCGGTCTGGGTACAGCAATGACAATTCCACCCATAAACAAGAGGGTCATGTGGTGTCTCATAGGCCGTGCCTGTGCATAGTGTAACTGCGCCTAGGTCATGTGTACTCATGGGCCGGTCTGGGTACAGCAATGACAATTCCACCCATAGACAAGAGGGTCATGTGGTGCCTCATAGGCCATGCCTGTGCATAGTGTAACTGCGCCTAGGTCATGTGTACTCATGGGCCGGTCTGGGTACAGCAATGACAATTCCACCCATAGACAAGAGGGTCATGTGGTGCCTCATAGGCCATGCCTGTGCATAGTGTAACTGCGCCTAGGTCATGTGTACTCATGGGCCGGTCTTGGTACAGCAATGACAATTCCACCCATAGACAAGAGGGTCATGTGGTGCCTCATAGGCCATGCCTGTGCATAGTGTAACTGCGCCTAGGTCATGTGTACTCATGGGCCGGTCTGGGTACAGCAATGACAATTCCACCCATAGACAAGAGGGTCATGTGGTGCCTCAAAGGCCATGCCTGTACATTGTGTTACTGCGCCTAGGTCATGTGTACTCATGGGCCGGTCTTGGTACAGCAATGACAATTCCACCCATAAACAAGTGGGTCATGTGGTGCCTCATAGGCCATGCCTGTGCATAGTGTAACTGCGCCTAGGTCATGTGCACTCATGGGCCGGTCTGGGTACAGCAATGACAATTCCACCCATAGACAAGAGGGTCATGTGGTGCCTCATAGGCCATGCCTGTGCATAGTGTAACTGCGCCCAGGTCATGTGTACTCATGGGCCGGTCTTGGTACAGCAATGACAATTCCACCCATAGACAAGAGGGTCATGTGGTGCCTCATAGGCCATGCCTGTGCATTGTTAAGATGGCCATTGGCATGAGAGAGAGCATTGCCCATGGTAGCCCAGATCAATGTCAGTCTTAGGTCCTTGGCACTGGCACCCAATCTCCGGAGTCGTCTAATCGTGATTTGGCGGGTCCTGGTTGACTGTTATCCTCCACATTTCTTGTCCGAGGAGCAAGGGGAAATCTCCCTAGTGGGGACAGAGGCAGCAATGGAAAATACAAAATTAGCCTGGAGTTGGGCTTTAAAAAAAATAATATGGAAACCCGACAAGGATTTTCTTTTTCAATAAACAAAGGGGGGAAAGTTTATCCGACAGAAGGACAAAAATGCGGAAAATGTTTATACTGGTGACATTTACCAGCAGGAGCTTCTTGTGGAGTTGCACTTTAAAACAGAAAGTAAATATAATGAGGATATATCAGATTGCAGTACATACAGGGGGTTTGCTAGCCACAAAAGGATGTAAATTCTTTATTCAGTGCAATTAGATTTTTATGATACATTTAATTTATATATTCAAGAAGCACTTATTAATTAGTCAGTAAGGGTCATTTACTAACTTGAAAGTGCGGAGTCGGCGGGCGCCAGGAGGTGGGCACAGTCCTGAACAATCCTGTGTCCTGGGGGCCTTTTTGATGTTTGTAAATGAACCTTGGTGAGTAGTCTGTTCTCAGGAGACAGCTGCACATAGTAAATAGCTTGATGTTACTGCACCTATTGAAAATAATTTACTCTGTTTCAAAAAAGGCAAGGTCAGCCATTTATAGTGAGACTGTGGAGGAAGCCATATTGTGGCTGCAGGTTATTGGTCCAATAGGATTCAGCGATAACAAGAAATCCTTGTACATGATGTGGGATATGTTGGTGCTTTGTAAATAAAAGTTATCACTGGTCTCTAGTGAATGGATAGGCTGCAGTCCCATTCACATCATTGGTTTCTAGCAAATAGATGAACTGCATTCTCAGTGATGCCACCGCTCTCTAGTGAATGGATAGGCTACATTCTCAGTGATGTCACCGCTCTCTAGTGAATGGATAGGCTGCATTCTCAGTGATGTCACCGCTCTCGAGTGAATGGATAGGCTGCATTCTCAGTGATGTCACAGGTCTCTAGTGAATGGATAGGCTGCATTCTCAGTGATGTCACAGGTCTCTAGTGAATGGATAGGCTGCATTCTCAGTGATGTCACAGGTCTCTTGTGAATGGATAGGCTGCATTCTCAGTGATGTCCCGGTCTCTAGTGAATGGATAGGCTGCATTTTCAGTGATGTCACTGCTCTCTAGTGAATGGATGGGCTGCATTCTCAGTGATGTCACCGCTCTCTAGTGAATGGATAGGCTGCATTCTCAGTGATGTCACAGGTCTCTAGTGAATGGATAGGCTGCATTCTCAGTGATGTCACCGGTCTCTAGTGAATGGATAGGCTGCATTCTCAGTCATATCACTGGTCTCTAGTGAATGGATAGGCTGCATTCTCATTGATGTCACAGGTCTCTAGTGAATGGATGGGCTGCATTCTCAGTGATGTCACCTCTCTCTAGTGAATGGATAGGCTGCATTCTCAGTGATGTCACCGGTCTCTAGTGAATGGATAGGCTGCATTCTCAGTGATGCCACCGCTCTCTAGTGAATGGATAGGCTGCATTCTCAGTGATGTCACCGGTCTCTAGTGAATGGATAGGCTGCATTCTCAGTGATGTCACCGGTCTCTAGTGAATGGATAGGCTGCATTCCAGTGATGTTACCGCTCTCTAGTGAATGGATAGGCTGCACTCTGTGATGTCACCGGTCTCTAGTGAATGGATAGGCTGCATTCTCATTGATGTCACAGGTCTCTAGTGAATGGATGGGCTGCATTCTCAGTGATGTCACTGGTCTCTAGTGAATGGATGGACTGCATTCTCAGTGACATCACCGCTCTCTAGTGAATGGATAGGCTGCATTCTGTGATGTCACCGCTCTCTAGTGAATGGATAGGCTGCATTCTCAGTGATGTCACCGGTCTCTAGTGAATGGATAGGCTGCATTCTCAGTGATGTCACCGATCTCTAGTGAATGGATAGTCTGCATTCTGATCCACTCATATATGTTCTGATCCAAAATGGCTACCTTCACTTCAGGATAGACAGTAATGAAACATTTTCTCCATCATGGCCGATTGTAAATGGCTGACCTAGACGCGTTTATTGAAACTCGCATAGATGCTTCCTTTGCACACGTCTGTACACAACATTTACATTTTATGCACATATTTACCTTCGTATACGGCTAGAGTTACAGACACCTGTAGAGATATATGTGTGTAGGTGCCTACAGCATAACAAAGCTGAATATACAGGACTAGCCTATGTTATGGTTTC